TCAGATCGTCACTCATTATTAATATAAAAAAAAATCACTGAATTAGGGAAACTATTTCGGGCGTGTTTCGGAATGTTTTTTGTAATGAACACGTGACAGTTTGATAACATCCCCTCGTAATTGCTCAAATGACGGAAAGCGACCGAAACGAAACGGCCCTGATTGATGTTGCGCGGGAAACGAACAGAAAAAAGTTCGAAAATCGAAATCGACACGATGATTGTTGGAACACAGGTTTTGTTCTAATTTTAAATTTATTTATATTATTTCCTTCAAGAGAATGCAATGATAATCATAATGTAAAAAGTTTGTATATCTGCTTAGGTACTCACATGTATATAAGTAGATAATTAACACCTTTTATAGTGGATCAATCAATTTTGGTAAGTATTCTTTTCCAAGGACAATTCTAGCATATCTATTTATCCAATTTAAGAAATTCACCAGGCTTATATTTGTTCCATAGCAGTGATCCTTTCCATTCACTTTGTTGCAAATGACAAATTAATATATACTTCTATACTTAAATTTAACCACAAAAACATCTTAAAGATTTTTTTTAAACAAACCTAAAGGAAATGTATTTAATATTAAAAATTAAAAACAAGCACTCCATCTGATTTAGCTTAGAAAAAATAGAGCTTTCTTTCTTAGAAACAATATTGAATTATTTACATTATAATTCTGTAATATAAATACCTTTTAAAGACTCCCAAAATAAGTATATTTGCGTAAACAAAACATCAGCTGGTGTGATTTACGTATTTCACTTTGTGTAAAGTTATTTACTCTCCACACACATTCATAGCAGTTCATCAAATCATTACTCAGTTACTCTAAGTGAGGTTATGTGTGTAACTCTAAAATATGATAAAAAAGCAATAAACGGGTAACCGATCCCAAATTTAAGTGCATTAGTTTATTACTCAGAGTCTGACAGTCGTGAAGAAAAGTGTTTCTCATAGGAAATATTGTTTGAAACTATATTTAATTTTTTTTTAAGTTTCTCTTTGCTTAGTCTTTCCATCACGTAAGAATAGACATATGCTTAGTATCTATCCAACATCTAACAAACAGTTTAAACTTGTATCTAATCTTTACTAAAGGAAGATTTTGTATAAAAATTATCTGTTTGAGTAACTCTACTTTTATCTCATTTCTGCCATATAGCAATTGTGTTCAAAGGGTAGTGAATTGGGTATGGAGGAATAACATAGTCTTTGATTGATTGGGATAACATAATCCATAGTCTTTAGAATTAGCACCATATGGGAGGTGACTTGGGAGTTATAGTTATTTCGTCATGCCCATTGTCCAGACGTTGTGTATAGGCGATGATTATTATTTTCCATTACCCGGTGGAGTACCAGTGAGGAATGATAGGCAAAAATAACACAGGCCAGTTGGCCCACCGTGACGAATTTACAAGAATCAATCGCAATGACTTCCTCACTGGTATATCAGCGTATACCGCTAGCGCAGGTGGGATTACCATTCCATTGTCATCCATTAAAGAAACCTAACTTTCATTTCACATAAGATGTAATTTGAAAAACTGATACGTGTAGGCTAATTTCTTGAATACTTTTCTACAAAACAGTACATCTGTCATCACCTGACGATAAGTGCGCGCAAACTACGGCCGCATTTCCGAACGTTTTAGCGAATAGCACCATAGAGTTACATTCATCGAGTGCGTTAAAGATATTAATAGCTGTCATGTCTATGAGTGGCGCGAAAGAGGAGGCGATGACAGCTTTACGTAGGGCCATTTTGTGCTGCGTTTAGTAAATGCAGATAAATATTTATGATTGGGATAACACGGTTTTATGAGTGGATGAAGAGTATATTTTCGTATCGATTATTTGAATTGGTTCTGGAAATGTGGTACTTTCATCACTTAACTAAAGAGCGACGGCGTTCAGATGATTTAATATGTAAACCGTGATGTTTTACGATTTACAAATGTGCTCTATTTGTGAATAGGTAGCTAAGATGTATAAGTAACACTTTCCTAATAAAAATAGTAGGTGCATAGGTAAATGTTGATTTTATTAATATCGGTAGCTTAAATATATTATAGAATGAACAATGCATAGAATTTCTGACATAAGAGGCATCTTTGTCTTTTGGAGTCGATCGCCTGGGCGTTACAGTATATTGTGAGATATTTATATCTTAACACGTTAGTCCTTTGTTTTTGATAGCGATGATTACCAGAACTATTCAAAATCAAGTTATTAAATTCATATAGTTTACTATATGGTTACCTTCTGGGAAAAATGAACGACCGAAGGGGAGCGATTATTAATAATAAGTACTAATAGCCGTAATACTCACTATTAGTTCCGCTTCTACACAGTTCCCTCTGGAAATATCGTAGCTGATTCTTGGTGAATTTAGTCAGCCCTTCGTAACATCATTCACGGGTATCTTGTCAATGTATATCATAGTGCTGGCAGGGTGCTAAACAATATAATGAGATTCCATTTTCATTCTACTCAAAATCCCATTAAAAATAATAGTTGTCTGACCAATTGTTTAGAATTGGACGTATTTTAAAACAACAACAACAATAACAAACAGCTGACAAGCTATCTGGTGATTACTAGCAATTACTATCATGACATGACATGTCACCCATGAAGTTTAACTTTTAAATTTCCGCGCTGCTTGTTTTTTTTTTTTTATAAGAAACAGGAACTAATGCGATTATTTAAGTAAATTATAATAATTTTACCTCAATAATCTCGAAGTTTCCACTACGTTACACCGAGTCACGAGTAGACTAATGTAGCATTATCATGTCTCCGATTCCAAGGCAGAAGATTTTTCTCCTACCTACTAATTGTTCCGGAAGACAGACGAGATTGTTAATAATGGCCTGTGTCCATTGCTAACAATATATCCTACCAAGTCGACCTAATTCTTGTCAAAATCGTCATAATGGACCGATTGACCTGCCTTCATCCTCACCTATCATCTATCAATGGTGTCCCGCCAGCACATACCCATAGCACAGGCAGGGTTACCATTTCATTTTCACCCATTAAAAAAACTTATTGTCACATTACACACAATTTATGACACTATATTGAGGGTTTCTGAACACAACACATAGTTTATTTGAATGACTTCGTTAATTCCCGTTAATTTTTATATACTCATGAATAATATAAGTACTCATCCACGCTATGCAGTCCATTACGTTATCATTTCAGAATACTAAGTTGTTGTACCATTATTCAAAATTATACCTACTTACTGGATATCTGACATTACGTTCCTTCATCTTGTTTCTACCGTGTAGCAGTTGTGTTTGAATACCTGTGTTTCGATTAGAAGGGTGGGATATGGCATAGTTAACAAGGTACGGAGGTATAACATCTTAATACCATAGTCCCGGGGCAAAGGGATTGTTAGTAATCTAACAGATTCATATCTACCCTAATATGTTGACCTCCACGTGGTTCCCTTGGAAACCATCACGGTTTATTTTTTTTCTTCTAGCGGAGGTTGGCGATCATTATGGCGATTTTAATTTAATCCACCGCCATCCCGAAAATAATGGAAAAGACAACAGCGCACTAAACGAACACGATCTTCACTTTTAGAGGACGGTTGCAAAGTAGACTACTCCATGCACGCATTTCGTACTTGTACAATACAGTACTTAATTTCCATACCATCTTCTTGTTACTTGATTAACAATACACCCTAGATATTTGTAGGACCTAACCCTCTCTAGAGATAGATTGCTTAAATACCTATAACACACCGTTAAAAATTTAAGTTTCCCGGCGAACAACCATAAATTTTGTATCTTTGGTTTAAATATTAATACCACTACCATCTGACCTGCTTCATTCTCACTCCTCATCCCACACTGGTGTCCCGCCAGTGTGAACCGATATCGCAGGCTTGTTCTACATACTTTACTTATGGGTTAAAATACTTTAGGAGGGGGGGAGGGGTAAAAGACTTGCTTTTATCGTCATTACCCAGTGATGTTCCGCCAGCATATCAAAATAATGTAGGGAAGCATAGATACCTTTCCATTGGGGTCGATTCTGAGGCGCTATTTCTTTAAACCCATCTTTATAATTTTTATTTCAATATGATATCACAGCGAAATCTTTATTATAATCACCAATATGAATTAATGTCATAATAGATATAAGTCAAAATTATAAATTTAGTTTATGATAGTGAAAAAACAATAACTTTGCGAATCTAACAAATTAAAATAATAGGTTAAAAGAGGTTGAGAAATTGGTTTCGAGAAATGGCGTTACAGTTTTGACCTCAATATCACTCATTAAAAAAAATGTTCAGGAATTTGATTTCTTTTTTAAACAGAGGGCAAACAAACATGCAGTTCACAACACCGCACTGAACACCTGATGAGCACTCACAACACCGGGGAAATCGTGGGAGTGCTGCCGGCCTTTTAAAATGGAATAAGCTCTTTTCTTGAAGGTTGCGATGTCATATTACTTCATAAATACATGTTTTTTATTCTGAATTTCGATACTACTAAAACCATCTATTGGACTATCTAGTAAGCAAACTTGAGCTCCCCATACCATAATTTCTTTAAAATTCAACAGATGTCGCTATAAACTACTTCATTGCCTATTTTACCAAAAGTAATTTACAGAACGTTTTTATATAATTTACACGTAAATTTATAAATTTTTTATTACATTATTAATTAATGATATAAAATAAAACTATAAATTCAGATATTTATTAATTAGATATATATCACTTATCTGTGATTCATCTGATATATTTTGAATGCTGGTAACATTTTATTATTCCTCTACATGCAGAATTTTATTTCGATCATTAGGTGGTACAGAATTAAAAAAAATGCATATAAGGCAGTTATATCATAAAACGAAACAAAAAACACATATATTCCTTATATTTTTAGAGTATTTTTTTTTCTAATTCAGTATATTATTAAATAATATTAACAGCACAACAAAATATGATTTTAAAAAATTTCATTAAATATTATAAACAGGAACCCAACTTACAGTAATGCCAACCTAAAAAATGTAATTCAGAAATAACTTGTCGAAAATCCACCATTTTCCCTTTGTGTCTTTACCGGTGTTCAAAACACGTGCGTATCATCAAATTACATGGAAAACTCGCGTGCTAGCGACTGAAATTGACAAACAGACGTAACTAAACAGTGCGTCATATTCCTGTCGACAGGTGCCGCGTATTAAAATATCAAAATGAATACCGAGAAGCTGAAGAAATTACAATCACAAGTGCGCATTGGAGGTAAGGGCACACCACGGCGTAAGAAGAAGGTTGTCCATGCAACTGCTGCTACAGACGACAAGAAACTGCAGTCTTCGCTTAAAAAGCTGTCAGTAAACACTATACCTGGTATTGAAGAAGTTAATATGATAAAAGATGACGGTACGGTAATACATTTTAACAACCCCAAAGCGCAAGCATCGCTTGCGGCTAACACTTTCGCGATTACGGGGCATGGCGAAAACAAGCAAATTGCTGAAATGCTCCCGGGTATCCTAAGCCAGCTCGGACCTGAAGGATTAAATCAGTTGAAGAGGCTGGCATCAAGTGTAGCTGCGCCAAAACCACTTGATGAGGACGATGAGGTACCTAACCTAGTCGGTAATTTCGATGAAGCCTCTAAACAGGAGGCGAAAGAAGTAATAATTGAAGAGAAGGAAAAAGAAAAAAAGGAACCAGAAACCAAAGCCGCCGACAAGAAAACTGATTAATTGACTAATCTTTATCAAATTGTCTAGTTTTTAATTTTGCTCACCCGATAAAGTGATACAAAAAGCTAGGGTTTCCAAAGCCATTGGGGCATGTCTCAAAACAATTTTTATTTTTTTGTTAATAATTAATGTTTTGTGTTCCTAAATAAATGTATTTTGAATTTACCATGGTTCGCATTTATTGTAGAGAGTAAAATGTGTGTTCTGTGATGTAGTCCTGTAGACATTTAAGTTTTTTTGTATTTATATTAACTCATGACTTTGGAAATCCCTACTCTGCCGTCTTGATTAAAATATAATGCTTCTATCTCCTTAGCCATGCACTAATACCGATGTCTTAGTTTAAACTGTAACATACTGCATAATGGGATATTGATTCTCTCAATATAGATACTTAGTTAAGTGTTGTAATGAACCATTTGTTGAGATATTGGCATTATAAGTCATTTATACATGGAAAGTCTATAAACATATGCATTATTTTTGTCCTTGCACAGAAAAGATAATTATGTATAGTAAATAAGGTGTTAGATTAAGCACCTAATAATATTTTTAAATGATTGTATTTTCTAAAGTTGTTGGCTGACGTCCAAGTTTGCTTTCTCATTTTTAAAAAGTTGAATATATAGGTTTTAAAAAATCATAAAAATATAGTCACATAGCTCTTTAGGTTACTGGAGCTAACAATATAATAAAAACTTAAAAATTGTAAAAACTGTAAATGATTGAAGTTTATGTGATGTGTTAACAATCATGACATTAAAACTTTGATCCAGGTATTTTGATTTTTTATTTCTCCTACTGTAAAACAATACTTTTTAAAATGATTTCATTAAAGAAATGTCATAGTAGTATACAATAATTAAAATCTCTTATTAAATTCATAATCATAAATTAATTCTGTGCCTTAAAACATAAAGCATTGGTTCTTTGTAACTATAATATACAAGAATTTTCACTTTGTGTAAATTACCTTAAAATCATGGAATTTATTTCACAGAGCAATAATTTTTATCATCCAGTATTTAAAACTTATTTAAAAATATACATGAAGATTTTTATTCTAATAATCATACACTAGGGCCCTTTCCTTGCATTTCCTTTTCCTTTAGTTACAACTTTGGTTCTAATTATCATGACTCATGTTAGTAGGAAGTACTTACCTAGTCAAAATATATTTTAAGGAGTTTAGCATGTTTTCTTTTGATATAGATATTTATAAGTCATAAATTATTAGTATAGTTATATTTAATAATGACTTCCTGAGTATATTTATACATATTTTAATTTTTTACGCCATCTATTGTCAGTTTTATTTATTGTTATAGTTTCACTTATCTTATGGATTTTAAATAAAAAAATAATAATTTTAACATTTAACTATATACTATATATGAATTTTCATCATAATCAGTCCAGCCGTCTATATGTGAAACCTTAGCTTACTGCGCTGTTTATTAAATAGATTCATTGTGGGGTACAGAACAAAACTACATGTAAAAGAGATTTAAAAAATTCATAGAATTGAAATATGACAAGATTGTCGGGGACACGACGTTTTTATAGTTTTACTTGCTTACTTGTTCAATATATAATTAATTAGGCGGTAGATATAATTACATCTATGTACAACATAATTATATCTATCACCTACCTATGCATAGGTTGCGATCACAGATTTTTTTTAATGGATGACAATGGAGTGGTAACCCCACCCGCGCTATCGGTATACACCGGCGGGGCACCAGTGAAGGATGATAGGTGAGGAGATGAAGTAGGTCAATTAGCACATCGTGACGAATTTAATAAGAATTGTTCACGATGGTTTCCAGGGGGAACCACGTGGAGGTCGACCTTGCGATCACAGATTGTTGTGATTAAGTAAGAAATTGATATACATGCATATATTCTTGGGCATCAAATTACCCGTAAGTACTTCTCTTTATTGATCATAAGGCGAATCTGTAAATTAATTATTATCTGTAATGTAGGAAAGTAGGTATTACAAAGATTAAGAATAGTAACTGACATTCTCTGTATGTTACTGATTACCATAGATTTAGTATATCGTATTTTTTTAATGCGTATTAATAGAATGGTAACCCCGCTTGCGCTATCGGTATACGCTAGTGGAGCACTCCTTGTTCTTAGGTGAAGCACTAGTGAAGGATAATAGATGACGATGAAAGCAGGTCAGTTAGCTCATTGTGACGAATTCAACTGAAATTAAACACGATGGTTTCCAGGGGGAACGGCGTGGAGGTCGACCTGATAGAGTGTAATGCTAACAATGGGTCAGTTAAACCCCATTACTAACAATCCCTTTCCCCCCTAAGTATATCGTACTACGTACTAACAGATTGGCAATGGAATCACAAAACGAGACGAAACACTTGTGTGCCTGAAATGTAAATGTGAGCATAGATGGAGCACCTTTTGACTGCTCCATGTCCATTCTACCATTAGATGATTAATCAATTCTGTATACGATAGTAAATCGAAACTAGAAACTTTCCATGAATTTTATTTAACAATTAGTAATTTTAATAGTTAATAATCATTTATTTATTTAACTTCAGTACATAAATAAAAAAAAATATGTAGTATGTGTGATATTATGCCTATATATATTAGTGTATTTTAACCGACTTTAATAATAGAAAAAGGTCTCAATTCCGTTGTAATTTTTTATGTTTGTTACTTTGGAACTCCATTATTTACAAACCAATTTAGAAATATTATTTTTTATCTGATGTAGTCGTATATTATCATAAAAAATTATTATTATAGCTTCAGTAATTAGATTTTTATAATAACCTAGAATAACTAGTTTTGACATGATCAATATATGAATACATTAACATTCTTAAAGTCTGGGGTTTTACTTCCATATTCTTACTTTTCATTTCCATTAAATTTTTTACCAAAGGGAGATTTTGTACAGTCGTCGTCAGGAGTCGTCTGCTTGGGAACTTACACGCCATTTGTATTTCTGTCGTGAAACAGTCATTTGCATGATCTTTTTCGGTTTGAAAGGGGGAATTTGTGGGATATAGCAGTGAAATTATAGGGTACAGGTATAACAGCTTAGTCTTCAGGAACAGCAACGCATAAAGGGTATTAAGGACAACATAGTATACTCTGTTATATCCATAGTACTGTTCATTTCTACAGACAATAGCTACCACATGCCATAAGGTGGGCCGTCAACTTGTTTGAAAAAATTTTTAATGTAATTTTCCACACTTAAAACCGAAACACAAATAATACGACAAATACAAAAGTATACCCTTATCGATTAATAAAAACCTTAATGGGCTCATAATTAGTAAATATATTGTTTAATATACACACAAAAATATAGTCGAATTAATAAACATTAATATCAATAAAAAAAAATCTTTCGAAATCCAAAAATAGTTTTCAAATACTAACTTGATGTCTTTAATTTAATCGAAAATTATACATATCGAGATAGATAAAAATTTACTTATTTTTAATATGGGTAACGACGATATAGACTATTAATGTCAAATTCAAATAATTTTTATTCAATTCCTATTTTTCTTTTCTTCTAACATACAGGTAATTATATTTTCTGTTTTTGCATTGCAATTTAAATACTTTATAATCTAAGACTGATTACATAAATTTATGATTTTCATTCTAAGATTACAGGATAGTCGTAATGGGTATACTAAGTAAAATATAATGATAATATTAATGAAATTAAACGATTTACTCCAAAAAAAGTATACAAAATTAGAAAATATGTAATTTTTCAACCATTACATCAATTACTTGAACAATTTCCTTTGTGTTATTAAATTCCGAACATAAAAATGTCCTTTAACGAAACTATCAGTCACTGTCAATGTCATATGGTCTAATTTAAAAAGTCTGGGGGAAACTCGAATAAGAACAAGCGGGTTTTTTAAAAATTTTTTATTAATTTATTAAAACTATCTCTATCAATTCTTATTATTGAATAAAATATTATATTTTCACTAAATTCAGCGACAGTAATATAATTAGCATTAATGGGGAAGCGCAGTTGTAGAAAAAGGAAAAAAAAAGATGACGATTCAGGTGATGTAGACCATGAACCTTGTAATGACAAGGATATATATTCGGAAGATACTTCTACTGACTCAGAATCTGAAATTGATAAGGCCGATAAGTATAAACCTTACTACGTCACAGATTATATTAGAAGATATCCCGAGGAATCCCCTGGGACAGAATTTGTTGTCTTTGTAGAATCCTCAGATAGTCAGAAAACCATTGGATCCAGAGACTTGCTCTCACTCTCCTCCTGTTTAAAACGATTTAATAAAGGGGTAACTTATCTTAGATCTATAAATAAATTCAAAATCGGAGTATACTTTCAAAAGCCAGACTTAGCCAATGCTTTTTTAAATAATAAAACTTTTTTAAATGACTACCATTTTAAGGCCAGTATTCCTGCTTCTTCAACAGAAGTTACAGGCGTTATTAGAAATGTACCTACAAATATATCTAATAAAAAAATATATACTATGATATCGAGTTCTAAGAAAATTATTGCTATTAAAAGAATTTTAAGAAAAAATACCTTGACTCATGGATATGTGTTACAGCCAACTCTAACCGTGACAATTACTTTTGCTGCATCTGTATTACCTGAATATCTGGATATTGGAGGTTGGCGCCACAATGTCACTCCATATATACCACCAGTTAAACAATGCTACCGGTGCTTGAGGTATGGACATTTAGCTAAATTCTGTAAGAATTCTGAGCGTTGCAGCATCTGCAAAGGTGAGCATAATTAGAAAACTTGTACAACTGGAATGGAAAACGCTATTTGTGTACACTGCAATGGAAATCACACAAGTGTATCACCGCAATGCCCTGTTAAACAAAAGAAAATTGCTGAAAATAGATCTAAATTCAGACCTGCTTCTTTTGGAGATATACTCAGCACTGAAATATTTCCTAAACTGGGTAACAAACCTAAAAAAAATGTAGACCTAATTTCAATTCTAAATTCTGATAACAAGAGTTTATCACTTTTAATAGAAAGCATAATCAAACTTATTTCACTACATAACACAAAGAACACATCTATTAACACTAAAAGTGTTTTGAATGTGTTATATGATACTTTTGGTAATAGACCTATTTCACAAAATTCAATCGAGACCAATTAACTATCATACAGTGGAACGCTCAGAGCCTACTGAGCAATCGACATATTTTTACACAATTTTTAAACGAACATCATATTCACATTGCTCTCATCTCAGAAACTTGGCTAAAACCACATTACAAATTAAAAATTAAAGATTATTGTATAGAACGAAATGATTGTGGTAATAACCACAATGGAGTAGCGATTATTATACATAATAGTATTAGATATAAAAAACTTCACTCTTTTTTCGACAATTCTTTGCAAACTATAGCTATTAGTATTGAAGTTAATAATTCTTGGTATTCAGTTGCCAGTATTTACTGTCCTACCAATAGTACACCTAGTTTTACTAAAGCCAAATTTAAGTTCTTTTTGGAGTCTCTTCCTAAACCCACTATCATATCTGGAGATTTAAATGCACATCATACTATGTGGGGTTGTACCTCCACTAATACAAGAGGTAAAGACATTCTTGATTGTTTAGATGAATGTAATTTGGTACTATTAAATGATAAGCAAGTTACTACTGTTGGCTCTCATATTTGGAGACCCAATGGCCTTGATTTAACTATGGTATCCCCATCCATATCATTAAAATGCGAGTGGTCGGTTCATGATGATCCGTTAGGAAGTTATCACCTGCCGACTTTTACTAAAATAAACACAAAGAACTCTTCATCAACTCCGTCAGGTGAACAACATGCTCCTATAGATGAAGTTAATAAACTTTTGTTAAATCGTATAAACCTACGTCTCGTTAATTGGGATCTTTATTCTGAAACTGTTAATCAATTACTTTTGGATTTCGAGTATGATGTCAATGAACCCTTAAACAATTACAATAGGTTCTGTAAAATTATTTTGACAGCTGTGGAACGTTCCGTTCCACGTAGGAACTTATCAAATAGCGGTGCAAATACTTCAAAGAGGCACAAACATATTGCAGTACCTTGGTGGAATAACAGGTGTGCGACAGCTGTCAATGATAGTAAAGCGGCTTACCTTAGGTTTAAACAAAATCCAACTCTCGATAATTACATAAATTTTAAAAGAGTTCAAGCTGTTAAAAAGTTAGTAATTAAGCAAGTAAGACAACAGGGGTGGCAGGAATTTTGTTCCAAATTTAATAGATTAACACCGATTTCCACTGTTTGGCAAAATATGAGAAAATTAAATTCAAAACATCGTCAAAATCATTTTAAAGATATATCATGGGTCAATGATTTTTTACGCAAATATACTCCTGATTTTGTACACTCACCTTTTGATGACAAACAGTTTAATTCTGTTAATTCATGCCCAAAATTTCTCACTGACCCATTCTCAATTGATGAAATATCCAGTGCAGTAAAATCTAGAAAAGATACAGCTAGTGGCCTTGATCGCTTAACATACAATATGTTTCGATTGCTGAATAAAATAAACCTTACTAAACTCTTACAAATTTTTAACGATTTATGGAAGGACTGTATTATCCCACCAGAATGGAAAATGGATTGTTTGATTCCAGTAATTAAACCCGGTAAAGATCCTACAAATTTCGACTCCTATAGACCTATAACATTGACGTCCTGTGCAGGCAAATTATTCGAACAATTAATTAAACAGCGTTTAGAGTTCTTTATTGAAAGTAATAGTATATTACCATCGAATCAATTTGGTTTTCGCCGTGGATATTCAGCGCGCGAAAGCTTAGCGAACTTCTATGTCGACCTTAGTACTGCTTTGAATAACGATGAATATGTTCTATCTGTTTTTTTAGATGTCGTAGGAGCTTTTAACAATGTAAATTTAACAGTTCTATCTTCGATTTTATCCTCATTTCTTCCAATGAAACTTATCGAATGGATTTATAATTTTCTTAGTAATAGAGAAGTGTATGTTAAAGTAAATAGTAAATTAATAGGACCTAGGTTAAGCTCTAAAGGAGTATGTCAAGGTGGTATTCTAAGCCCGCTACTATATATTTTATATATCTATAAACTTAATTCAATTTTAGGAAACAGTGTGAACAACTTGCAATTTGCCGATGATTTATTAATTTATATAAAAGGAAAGAATATTATTGATATGCAATTATTGTTAAATGAGTCATTAAAAAGACTTGAGAAATATTTTTCTCTTCTTTCCCTCGATATTAGTTTAACCAAAAGTAAAGTAGTTGTTTTTCATCAAGTGCATAAATATGTTCCATTAATGAATATTATATATAATAATCAAACTCTTCCAACAGACTGTAGCGTTAAATTTCTGGGGGTAATTTTTCATCAAAATTTAAAATGGGATCTATACGTTGATTGCTTAGTAGATCGTGCTTTAAGAGCCACTAATATAATAAGATCTGTAATTGGTCGTAACTGGGGAGCTGATCCTAAAATTATCCTTTTACTTTACAAATCTCTTGTTAGAAGTAATTTTGATTACGCTTTCTTTTGTTATGCCTCAGAACATAAATTAGTAGAAAAACTCGAAAAAATTCAAAATATGAATTTAAGACTTATTTTAGGTGCTATGTATACTTCTCCAATTATCTCAATGCAAGTAGAATGTAATTTGCCTCCTATCCTTCTTCGTTTCGAATACCTAAAACTCAAATTTCTCTTCAAAGTTTTTTCAGTTTCCAATAACCCACTCATACTCAAATTATTAAATTGCCCCATTTCTATGTTTTTGAATAAAACTATTGTCAATGATTTGAATTTACGAGATGAATATAACATCTATAGTAGTAAGATACTTCCTTGTTATAATGGCCTTTATGAGAGTAAGTTCTGTAAGATCAAAATTGTTATACATAAAGACATAAAAGAAAAACACGATATGTATGAGACTTTATCAGAATTTATTGACTACAGGCAGATATATACAGATGGTTCCAAAAATGCACTTAGCACTTCAGTGGCTTTTTACGATTTGTCAAATAGATTTGGTCACGGTTATAAAATTTCAACTTTGGCTAGTATTTACACAGCAGAAGCAAAAGCTATATTTTTAGCATTAGAATACATAGAAAAACAGGTACTATATTCGAAATGGATTATAATTACAGATAGTATGAGTGTTCTTATGGCATTAAAAAATAACACATTCATTTCATCATCAAACTACTTAATTCAAGAAATTCGTAATAAATATTATCATCTTTGTACTATATATGGAAAAGATATTATCTTCATCTGGACCCCTTCACATATTGGAGTGTTTGGGAATGAACAAGTAGACACTTTGGCTAAAATTATTAATTCAAGTGCTGCTCGTGTTCAAGATTTACCCCTTTGTTACTCAGATTGTAGTATTGGAATACATAAAATCGTTACAACTAAATGGGAGGAGCATTGGACTCAAATATTACAGACTAAAGGCAAATGGTACCGCAAAATTAATTGGCGTATTGGAAAACCGTGGTTCTGCAAAGGAAAGGACACAAACAGAAAATTTTACACCAATATTTGTAGATTACGAATCGGCCACGGTCATTTCAACGAACACCTGCACCGAATGGGCATGATCGCTTCCCCATCATGCACATGGTGTAACTCAAATACAGCCCAATCTCTACATCACCTTTTTTTTTTGATTGCTCTGAATTTGTCATTCAAAGACACATTATGTTTGACGAACTTAGGATTATCTTCAAAAAACCCGAAAATATCCCGCACTCAATCCCGCTTCTCTTAAGATTTCCTTCTTGTTTCAAAGCTATTTTCATTTATATTACTACAACATTCAAGGAGCTATAAGAATACTTTTATTGAATTGCAAGACAATGATTTTTTATAATTATTTATTTTTAATTTGATAAATCCACTGGTTTAAGAAAACTCAAAAAAAGATATTTATGAAAATGTACTTACCGGATTTGACAAATGAAATATTGAAGATTATGACAATAATTGAAGCGACATTAGAAAAATAAAATTCCAGACAAATTATCTTTTTGAAGACTAGGCAGCATGGTCTCCGACCTTAGCCTGTTCCAAACGGAACAAACGTACTAAAAAAAAAAAAAAAAAAAAATTAAAAAGTCTGTCATTTCATTTCATCAAAATGAAAATAGAAAACACTTGTTACGATTTATTTGATGAAAACCATAGATTTAATTGAAAACATATAGTGTAACTGTAAAAATAAACAGTTGTGTTGATTAATTGGGTATATTACATTCTTCTGTGTAGTTATAATCGGTAAATTGTAACCAATAGGTCAATTTAAATTTGACAGCCAAATCAATTCATTTTTCCTTAACATCAATCTGGGATATCATTCATTTATTAAAAAATCAAAGAGAAGATTAATATAAAATGATTGCCAGATTATGGACAGATGATCTGCCGAAATGCAGAAATACTTGTGTTGCGTCATATTTCTCCAGATTAGGAGGAAACGTAAATACAAATGACGATTATCTCTGTTTTTATTGTCAGACAGAAGAAAACTCGTAAGCAACTTTTTTATACTTATTAATTTAAACACCTAAAGCGTATGTTAAAAATAAAAGCTTTTAAATTTTTACTATAAATTGACCACTTCGCCCGGCCTACTGAAAAGATGGCTATTTTTTAATTTTAAGGTTTTATTTATTTTTTACATCATTAATTAAAAATATTATAGCTGTATGAAGTCTTGTTTACCCTCAAATTAAAGAATATATATTGATATTACAAACACTAAAATTGGTTAGTTTAGTTTACTACTCTTGTAAATAGAAGGTTTGATTTTACATATTGACATGATTCCAGTTGTTTATATGGTGTGTTTGAACCTCACAATGGACTGGATGCAGCCAAGTTTATCATGCAGCGGATGGCAGTTGAGATGCTCCTGCCTCCACCATCGGCCAATAACACTGATGAAGAGATAAGGGATAGGTTGAGGTAAACTGAGTATCACAGTATTATAACTATAGAGTAATTTCTACTCATGATCAAGTATTATGGGTTTGATTCTAGATTAGTGTCAAGAGCATAATACAATTTTTGTTTTTTTATACAACTTAGAATGGCAAACAAGCTGATGGCCCACATTATGAAAAGGAATGATGGAACATTAACTGTATCTTATAATTTTGTATATATAAATTAGAATAACAAATATTCTGTATGTTAAACTAAAATATGGTGTCTCTGTGTAGCAATTTAAATCAAAACAGTTATGAACTGACATGTCTAATAAGGTCTTTATAAAAATGTATACTTATTAGCTCTAGAAGATTATATAATATATAAGTACAGTGGATTTTGGGTATAACGACGATGAAGGGACCACTCTAGTTTAGTTGTTATATCTGGAAGGCGTTACAGGCAAAGGTAAAGAGATATAGATACATAAACATGTATAGTTTTTTTTTGTACAAATTAGCATTGTTTTCACCGTTTTTCAATTTTAAATGATTTCTGCTACTTAGCTGCTATCTATAAACAATAGGTAAAGGTCTTCATACTTGCTGGCCATCTGTGTGGATGTAAACAAAAGATTAGAAGTGTTTGTGAAAGAAAGAAATCTTGGTGCCTCTTTAGCGGTCAACTTGGGTCACAATATCTGCATGGGATTTCTAGGAATTTCTTACAAATGATTCATTAAAAACATTCCTTACACCGAACTTGGCGTTACATCCAAAGTCGCTATAGCCATATGAATTTTGTACTAAAGTATGCTTTTAATTCAAGGGACTTAGATTTAATGTTGCTATAGGTAAATGGTCGCTACAACCAAGGTCGTAATAAATGAAATCCACTGTAGTTCACAATTTTATATTAAATTTCAAATAAATTTCTTAAATTAAGCAAGATTAAGTTACAAACTGTGTGATCCCAGTATAGAAAGGGCTATCCCTTCCTTCCATGTAAGAGGTGACTAAGGGAACTTAATGGTTGAGGGATGGGTAGCATTCCTCTTAGAACATCACTTAAGTCTAACTACAGTTGCCAACCCACCTGCCAAGAGGGACAACTGCCGATAAATCTCTTATGGGCGAGGTCCATGTTCGAGGTTCATGGTATGATATGAGTTAAAACATCCAAGCCAGTAATATAAATGTGCAAACTTATTTAAAGAAACACCAACAGCATATTGCATTATACATACACATAATTATAACAAACATTAAATACTATACAATATTCATGCATATGCCTATTAAATGTCCATTATTTATTTCTTTATTGTCAATGTTTAATAAAGATTAAAGAAAGAACAAAGAAGCAGGTATGTAGGTACTAATTACCTGTAAAAGCTTTTTCATCATGTTAAGTACTGATTATGGATCATAATCACTACATAGTATAAAACAAAGTCGCTGTCTGTCGTCCCTATGTATACTTAAATCTTTAAAACTACACAACGGATTTTAAAGCGGTTTTTTTAATAGATAGATTGATTCAAGAGGAAGGTTTATATGTATAAAACATATATAATACTGTAGAGAAATGCTGATATATTTAGAGGTTTCTAATGTGATGTGATGCAATGTGCACCCGCGCAAAGCCGTGGCGGGTCACTAGTTTAAATACTTAATATAAGTATCATTGCAATATTTTAGGAATGCATTTGTGTCTGTAGAAAAGGCATACAATGAGAACTATGATGGGATGATAGCTGAGAGAACCAGTTTGCAGTACCATCTTCAGACATTAAGTGAGACTCAGGTAAATATTAATTAAATAGTACTCACCAGTATTGAATGTATGTTTAACTGTACAGACATCTGGCTCATTAGAAATAAATCATTACAAACAAATGTATTGATAGATTTATTATTGCTAAAAAATCTGAGAGATGGAATAAGAAAGTGTTCTGGTGTCTCATTCTTTCTCATGTGATTACTAGATATATTTGCTGTTTGTTTATGGGGGCTGTATGGGTATATCTTTCTCACCTGTTTTTTTTGCCGAACAGTGCTTGCATGATGTTGGCAGTTTAGAATGTGAGATATGGTAGTGAAATTAATTATCACTGATTAAGTAAAACTATGAAACAGATACTGTTGTACTATTCATAATTCATAAAGCTTCTTTATTTTCATATTCAACAATAGTTTTAAATTGTATTTATTACATTATGGTTACTACTAGAAAAAAGTTAATATCTATGTTAGTTTATTTGTTATGTAGTATTTTGAATATAAGCCTCATATTGGGTTTAGGTTTCCTTCATCTGATTCCATTTCTCCTTTATTTTGGCTCTATTTATCCAATTGTTCCCTGATATTTGTTTATTTTTTTGTCTAATAAATCTTAATTTTTTTTATATCAGATGTCACAAAACTCAATCCTGGCCCGTCTCAAGGAGATTGACAAGCACCTCTCTGGAGGTGCCACTGTGGTAATAGCACTTGTTCACAATAATAAACTATTTGTCGCGAATGTTGGTGAGACCCGAGCTCTACTGTGCAGGACAGACGACAACTCAGTTCTAAGAGTAGTACAGTTGACAGTAGACCACAGTTTGAATAATGAGGATGAACTATTGAGGCTGTCTCAGTTAGGATTGGATGTCAATAAGTTAAGAAATGGTTAGTTGTTGTGTAGCATTATAAAAAATCAATAAAAGATAGTCCACCTTTTGTTGATTGATTATATTGATTTCTATCTTCATGATAATGTTTTAAATAATTCTTATATATGCCTATGTAAACATAATTTAATATGTAGTAGATTCTGATATCTGCTTCTGTTCTTATATTCCTTCTTTATCTTTTTGATAATTTTATTCTCTATTATGCTATCTGTGCCTCTGTGATTTCGCTTATTCCTTTATTAGATTTAAATACCTCCACATTCCATTTTACTTAATAGAATGCAAGTGTAAATCTGTATTTCGTTTTCACTCGATTGATTCTAATAAATTTCTAGTTTACTGAAGAATGTTCTAAAATTAGCCTTATTGAACTTTACAATTTTATAGTATAATATAAAAAATTAAAAAAAAAATTGTAAAATTACTGATTAAGAAATATATTCCAGCACAATACATGGGTAACCAGACAGGTACACGTTGCTTGGGTAACTACCTGGTAAAGAGTCTATACAAAGCTATTCCAAGTTTGAGGGCTGCTGCTACGGAGCCAGTGGTGGCCGCACCTGAGATACATGGCCCAATTGTACTCGACGAATCTTGCAGGTAACAGAGTATTCTATATATCTACACTGTTTGTATCGCACGGCTTCCTCCATAGTCTCATTTCTTCCTTAAGAAATTAGTTATTTATTGCAAAACAAGTTGAAATTCGACTAAGTAGTTTTAGAGATTGTTTTGGTATATTTTCACATATTAATTGCAAATTAATAGTGCATGCACACATGCACATGTGTACCAGTTTTGTGACTCTTAACTTCTTCAGAATATCAAGATAGATTAATAAATGTGTCAGTATATCTGTACATGATATATCTATGTGGTAGGTAATAAAATATAAGTTTTGCTATAATAATGTTTAAAACTTATTTTTACCTTAATAATATTAATAATAAAAACAAATGTTAAACAAAACTGTTTTGTTACATCTATTTACTAAATAGAAGGAAATCATGGGCGACACAGTATCCACGTACTATTCATGTCTGTAGGGAATTGTTACTACTTTCCATCAGGTTGGCCATTAGTTTGTTTGTCATATTAATATTAAAAAAAAAAAAAAAAACATGCAGGTTTTAGTAGTCTTAAGTATGTTCTTCCTAGAAAAGACAAATGTTTAAATTTGTTCCAGATTTTTAGTACTAGTTAGTGCGGGCGTATACAAACGCATACAAGAATCAAGAGGCAGCTTTGAACAAACAAATAAACAACTATCGCAGATTATAGTAGAGCATTGTAGGAAGCAAACCGACTTCAAGAAGATAAGTCAATCAGTTTTAGAAGAGATTGAAGAGGAATTCGTGTCATATTGCGTCAAAAATAATTTAACACCAAAAGCGAACACCCATATGTCATTACTAATAAGAAACTTCAATTTCCTACCTACATATGAACAGTTGAATCCACCTAAAAATGCAGTCCGTTTCAATCCGATTGTACAATCAAAATCGAATACTCTAATAAACGAAATCGATTCCGAGCAATATTTATCTACAAACGATGCAGATAATGAATCGATAATCGACACGAATAGGTCATGCGAGTCGTCTTCCGATGTCTGCGTTAACGATCGTCCGTATGATAAGGATAAAAGGATAAAGGGCTATGTTGATTTCTCGTGTTACTATGAGAATGTGGATAAGGCGCGCCTTAATGGGACTCTTCCCTCATTTATTGAATAATATTTCTAGATTATTTTGTGGAGATTGAATGTCTCAAAGGCTCTATTAGCTGATAGTGTCAAAAGTTAAAGTCAAGTACGCTTTTAAAACTCTTGTAAAAAGAACAAAACTAGGCAGCTAACTCAAGCGCCCAATTGGTCGTATAGCGAAAAATATAAATCTGATTATTAGGAAATTGAAATCATTGATTCTGAGCTATTATTGTTATTGATGACAGTTATGAGTCGTCCTAATAGGGTAATAATGCGAGTTTTCTACTATGACGCTGCGTTTTAAATATACAATCGGGACTTAACGTGATGTAGAAGCTTTTACAGGTAAATAGTACCTACATAGCTGCTTTTTTGTTGTCGATGTTTCGACGTGGATTACACCACGTCGTGGTGACGACACGACTGAAGTGAGCGGCGCCTTCGTCTGGCAGCTCGTGCAGTCTTTTCTGTAAAGGCTTTTTTTACATTAACATTACATTTAAAATTAACCATGACGCTTTGCTTATATTGTTTTAATATGAAAACCAAGGTAGTTTAAAGTATTAGCTGTCATTGATGAGGTTACGCCTCTTTTGTGAGAGCTAATACTAGCTTTCCTCTATTTAACCTTCTCATGTGTTAATCTTAGAGGACTACCTCTAGAATTAATCACATGAGTATTTCTTTGAGCACCACAGTTCGTCTGTTTTATTCATTTCTATACATAAACAATAATAAAGGGTTTTTACGCGTTACATGATTTATGAGAATGTCGGTAAGACTTTCCATTCTCCAGCACGTTGACCATTTTTCATCATAAGTATAAAATTGTAACTGGACTAATAGCTACTGGCTTAATGATGCAGTGTTTAAAACAATTTTTATTAAACTGGTATAAAAGGGGGGAAAGGGATTGTTAGTAATGGAGTTTGACAGCCCCATTGCTAGCAATATGCCTTATTAGATCGACCTCCACGTGGTTCCCTCTGGAAACCATCGTGAACAATTCTTGTTGAATTCGTCACGATGGGCTAACTGAGCTTCATCCTCACCTATCATCCTTCACTGGTGCCCCGCCGGTGTATACCGATAGCGCGGGTGGGGTTACCATTCCATTATCATCCATTAAAAAAAAAAAGCTGGTATTAAAATGTTACCAACTGTGGTGGCAAAACAGGGTTTTTTTTATAGTCGTAACATTAATAGAAGTTTAAGTGTTTAATATTTACGCTTTGTGCATCTACTTCAAATTGTGAATATGTAATTAACAGTATTAGATGAAATTACTACAATTAAGTATAAAATTGTATACTATATGTGTTGTTATATCAGCTTTCAACTGTCTATTGCTAAATATAGACCTCCTTCTATTGGGGAGTTTTTGCCAGTAGTCGCTACACTTGGCAAACGGGTTAGCGACCGCAATTAGACTTTGGTGATGTAGTAAGAGGGACGCTACTGCCGATCCCTCGACCATTAAGTTCCCTCAATAATCTCTTATGATACCCACGGGAAAGTAATAGGTGGCCCATTCTATGCCGGGATCACATGGCAATATACTTTTATAATTTCTATTTATTGTTGTTAAAGAATAAAAGATTTTTATTTGGAATATATTTTTATTTAGCACTCACCGACAATGTTTTACACGAGTTTTTACACGCTTTGTTATATATACTTTTTATTAACATCATAAAGATGGTAAAAATCGTAATTGTTGACAGTACTATTCTTTACCTTAAACTTTTTTTTTAATTTATAAGTTAAACCGGTTTATAATCTAATTTGCTCTCCAATTTTTTGTTGTCTGCTACTTTACGTACAGCTTTCATTAAATCCTCCTGAAAAATAAATAAAATGCATTAATAAAAAAAATTGCTTATTCCAGTGGACTAAGTAGATGAAGCTGTTTATCAAGAAAATTCTGTCGGATATAAGGTGAGAACTGCTCATGTAATAAGTAAATGACGGCACTTTAAGTTCCGATTTCGATGTAATGAACTTTTTCTAATATTCATTATTTATTTACATATTTTTTAAACACTCAGATATAAATTGTATCTTTTACATGTAGTTATAAAACAATGCACAAATAATAATTTCGCTTTGTCTATTTCTTGATGTTATAGTATATAGAGAAAAATGATAAATGGAATTGTCAAAAGTAAAGGAGTAGAAAGGGTTGAAATTACCTGTATAATGTATTCCCTTTCGGCTCTGATAGCAAACAAGCCTGCTTCAGTACACACATTCCTGAGATCAGCTCCATTGAATGTGTCAGACAGTTTGACAACTGCTTCATAGTCCATTTCTCCATGCTTCGCTATGGGTGCTGCATGGATTTTTAGAATTTCTAACCTAAAATAGCAAAGAAGCATTAGTAATGCATACATACCTAAAGATTTTCTATTAGATGGGGTTCTCAATGTGTGATTATAACACTAGGTTGTTGTATTTTACCAGTACTTTTAGGTTAGGTGTCCAAATTTGTTATATTTTGACTTCTTCATTATCTTTCTATGAATATACCAAGTATAAAAAAGAAATTATTAAAGTAAGATGCATTTGTCAAAAAACGTCATCTATTATTTTTGGCTCTACTATTGTCTTGTCAGGTTGTTTGACAAGATCGATTTTACTTATTATAAGTTAGGTGTTATTTTATCTATTTGATTATGGGCTTATAATCTATGATTAATAAGAAGTGGCATAAACAAAAACTATCATCTACTCACCTAGCTTGTTCATTAGGCAATGGAATCTCAATTTTTCTGTCCAAACGGCCCGGCCTGAGTAGCGCAGGGTCAAGTGTGTCGGGTCGGTTGGTAGCCATTATAATTTTCACCTGTCCAGAGAATCGAATCCATCCATTTGGTTGAGTAATTCCATCAGTGTGCGTTGAATCTCTCTGTCAGCACTGGTGCCTTCAGAGAAACGCCTGCCACCTGAGAATTTTATGACATATTTTTATTTATTATTTTATTCAGTATATAATGTTTTATTATCACTAAATATTTAGGTAGAAAGATAAAACTTTATTTACTAAGTTTTATTTTAATAACTTGATTTATTTTAAACTAGTTGACCAGGCAAACATTGTTTTTCTCCCCACTGTTTCCTGTCGTTTTCGTTAAAGTTCATTAAAATCGATTGGTGGTTTCGAAGATTAATCTGATCTGACATAAGATTTTTATATATTAAGACATTTTGCCTTCATAATGGGCTGCCGTAAGACTATTACATAGGTTCTATTTTATATTATTAGTAGGAATAAATACCAATAGCATCAATCTCGTCCATAAATATAATGCAAGGTTGATGGTCTCGTGCATAGTTGAACATTTCGCGGATGAGGCGGGCCGATTCACCAATATACTTATCAACAATTGCTGAGGACACCACCTGAAAGTTACAATATTATATATTTATACACCAGATAAATGATTTATTTTATTAACCAGATTATATATACCAGAGGGAGATTGCACAAAAGTCGTCTGCTTAAGTACTTGTCCTATTCGTGTTTCTGCCGTGAAGCAGTTGTATTTGCATGGCTGTGTTAGTTTGAATGGTAAGTAATGGCAATGAAATTACAGGGTACAGAGGCACAACACCTAATATATACTTAGGAATGACGACGCAATAACTATCATGGGAGGCAAGGTATATGAGTACTCTGTTAATTTCATGGTACTATTAATATTATAGGCGATGGTTACCATTTCCATCTGGTGGGCCGTAAACTAGTTTGCTATTTTAAGTTTCATAAAAAAATATTAATTTTGCTTCCATTTATTATCATATGATGTTTTGAAATGAACTACAATCGAAATTACAATGCTATATAGCTAGCCTCTTTATTTAGCAATCAGCAATCAATATAGCAGATGAATTAACCTATTTGAAAATATATTCATAAGAATTGTTAGACTTGCCTTCAAAAAGTTGGCATCCAGTTGTGAAGCGACAGCTCTGGCTAGTAAAGTTTTGCCTGTACCAGGTGGACCATACAGAAGACAGCCCTTGGGAGGGGTGATACCAACACGGACGAAGAGTTCTGGATTCAGTAACGGTAATTCTATCACCTGGTGAGAAAGTTATTTATGATATAGATTTGGCATTGGTAATTTTTTATTATTACATGGTGTGTATACAATAGTCTTTTTGCTATAAATAGACTTTAGTTTTTTATAGTATTGGTATTTAAGACATAATTTATGTGTATCACACATATATTGAGATGTCAAATATGTGTATAAAATGCTAAGTAGATCACAATGTCTTCCAAACAATTATATTTTATGTTTATATTCAAAGATTGCTATTTATTTATGGAATCTTAAAAATAATACTGAAATATTACCTCTCGAAGCTGTCGGATCTGTTCCTGCAGACCTCCAATAGCAGCATAGGTGACATCTCCGGGATCCTCATGGCTCATGTTGTATACAAGAGGATCAACCTGTAGATCATAAAAGGAAATTATTTTAGAGGAATAATTTGATTAATCTTATGAACCAGTAGGGGTGTAAACCTGATGAAAGAAGAAACAAAGAAAGAGAGTAAATAGACATGTTTGATAATAAGGCACAACTGCATTTTTGACTGCAGACATAATAACTAAAGAAATATACAAATGAACTGAAATCCTTTTTAGAAACTTACTTATTAATGCTAATTCATACCTAATTATTATAGTTCTAGACTATAATAATTCTAGACTACTCTTCTCTACAAAAGTATTTTGGAAAAGCTATCAAAGGATACCCTTAGGGTTATCTTATTCTTGAAAATCTATAGATAAGAAAGTTGCCAGATTTTGGTATGCAGTTATAACATTACCTCTCTAGGAAGATGTCTCATGATGGTAAGAGTGGTCATATCAAGGGCTACTCTGGTACCACCCTTCAGTTTGTTCTTGTCCAGTTGCCGGCGGCAGCCAACTACATAGCGTGGGCCATTTGTTGCTTTTACAATAACTGAAAAAATTATTTAAAAATGTGTTTCAAAATCTTAATACATCAAAAAAGGTATAATGTAAATACATTCCCAAAAAGGTAATATGTTTTAGTGACCTAAATCATGAATTCTAAGATTTGTTTTTAATTTAACTATATTTATTAGTAGTTGATAATAGACTAATTGTAAAACAATAATTATTTCATTTTTAAACATAACATTAAGAACAATATATTTTGACTGGTAAACATTACACACTAGTCAGAGTAATACTTGCTATTCTAAAAAATACAATTTTTATCATTAAAATTGAGTATTAGTAAGTATAAAAACTTACACCTACTCTTCCAGAAATTATTATTAAAATATATAATAACATCTAAAGATCATACATTTCTCTTCAGTCAGCTGCTTGAGTACTTCACCAACAATCTGACCCACACTTTGCAATGCTTTCAGATCATTTTCACTTTTGTCATACTGCTTTGTTAAATCTTTCAGTTGTTCACGCACTGAAATAATGAAATGTTTATATATTTAATCTAAAACAATTAAAAATACTATTGTTAATAAAAGAAAATTAACATCAGCAAAATTTTGGGAAATACAGAAAGACATTTGATTTCTTTTTCAACATCTTTTTATTTTAGGTTACAGGACCCATATTTTACTGCTAATAATAGGACAATCTAATATGTTATAAAAATGAGCTGTAAGTACAATATAAATCTGATAGGTAATGTATAATACATTGGTATAAATTGTAGTTTTTCTATTGTTATAATAATATTATTTAAAATAATTAAGAAAATAAAAACAAACTAAGTTAATAGCTATCTAGATTTAGTGTTATATTAATAACCTATTAAAAGTATGATAAGTGCCATTTGACACAATTAAATATAACATTATATATTGACTAAATACATCTTTTATTTAGTTTACCAAATCTGGATTACGAAAACAATAACAAAATTATATTTCGAAACGATGATTCGGCAAAAATCAAGTGTTCGTCACTTTAAGAATACTCACTGTCTTTCAGTCGTGATTCTACTTCTTTGTGCTCCATTAACTTCTTTCTATAATCCTGAAATGCTTTTTCTCTCAGAGGATCCATAGTTGAAGTTCCAGCAGGCATTTTTAATCAAAATACAATTACAAAATAAGAGAATCTGGGACGCTCCAGAAAGAAAAGTCACTTTTTATATTTGATTGACATTTAATTTTCTCTTTAAATGACTGAGCTGTGACTGACATCCGTGTTGATATGACAGTTATTTTTTTAATTTTAGTTCGGAAAGTACTATATTCTAGGATTCTCCTTCGCAGCCCAATGGGGTCTATTCAGAGGCGTTATTTCTTTAAACGTATCTCTAAAATTAATATTTCAATTTCATGTCACAGTGAAATCTTTATTCTAAAGATCAATATGAATTCAATTTATAATATATTCAAGTTAAAATTCCTATAAATTTAATTTATGGTGGTCCATAATATAATAATTTTACGAAAATATTAAATTATTGTTATTTATACATAGGCTCAAGAGATAAGTGAATACAAATGCTGATTAAGGGACAAATGCCTTAGAATGTCCAATCGTGGGCTTATTAAAATTAGTATTACTGCAGAGAGCATTGTATTTAGACCATTTTTTTTCGAAAGATTTAGTAGTTGCTTTAGTCTTTGATGATGATTCTCCTGCTAAAATAATAATGTGAACAAATAAGTTTTGTGTAAAATAGGATTCTGACTTCGTTCTTAGGTCAGATTCTCAGTTTTCGATAAAATTTATGATATAAAGATGCTATAGAACATTCGTATTAGTGCGAATGTACTTTTTATGTTGTTTAAATACATTGTAATTGCTAGAAAGACTATTGTGTTTAAAATGCTCACATGAAAGGACAGGGTCGTGGGAGTGTTTACTATAATAACTAGTGGTGGAGTATTATTTTTCCTTCTCAATAGTGTTTCTCAATAGAGATTAACATGAATATGGGCAAAACTAAAAATATAATTTAACGTTAACGTTGACGCAAATGTTATAATTGAGAACACTACGCTTAAGTTGTTGACGAGTGTGTATACCTGGGACAACTTGTCTGACTAGGTTCTTTGAACATGGTCCTGCATGATTGCCCATATGCAAAAGTTTCAAATTACTCAGCGGGTTATGGAAAGGGCTATGCTCGGATTTTCTTTGTATGACAGAATCCAAAATGAGGATGTCCGTAGAAGAATCAAAGTGACTGATATTGCCCGAAGGATAAGCAAGCTGATATGGCAATGGGCTGGTCACATAACTCGAAGAACCGACAATCGATGAAGAAAAAAGGTTCTTGAGTAGCGGTTTCGTACGGGCAAACGCAGTGTAGGACAACCCCACACTAGATGGAGTGATGACTTTAAATGCATTGCAAGGAGTCAGTGGATGCTATAAGATAGGGACGTCTATGTTCAGTAGTGGACAGTATGGTAATTATTGGAAAAAAATTACACAATATTCTAACCCCTTTTATCTATATATACCTATGCTAATATTATAAACAAAGATTTGAGTTCTAGTATGTTAGTTTGTAATAGATAATCTTAAAAACTACACAAACGATTTTAAAAATTCTTTTACACATCTATGTGTGTAAAATGTATGTATGTAAAATCTACTATCAGTGAGTAACATAGGCTATATATTATTTTAAAAAAGTAGAGATCCCTACTAAAATTATAATAATGTAACGCAAGGTATCAATAGTTTGCTTATTAAAGATAATATAAAATCAATATCTATTTATCATTCGTGTCGTATTGCTAATTTCTGTTAAACTTATTGTTTAATTAGTTAGTTTTTATTCGCGACTTCGTCCGTGTGACCGAGATACGTGTAGCTACACCAGGTTTCATGATGATGCTATATATAAAAGTATGCTTTGTTGGTTGTCTTTAAATAAATAAATGATTAGTTAAGGCCTCAAGAGGTAATATTGTAAATAAACAAATAAATAAACAAACTTACTTCTGCATTTCTAATATGTACGTATTATTATGTATTTAAAAGAAAGTAAGAAACACTTACCTATTTAGTTATGGATAAAATACGTTCATATTTGGGAGGTTTTTGTTTTTATTATAAGGGGTTTATTAGTCATGTGGTCTCGGTATAGAGTAGTCCTCCTTCTTATCCCGTAGGTGTCTTAAGAGCCGACTAAGGGAGGGCGAGGTATGGGCAGCAGCGTCTAAAGCCTGACTGTGGTTGCCTATATGCCTGCCAAGCGTGGCAACTACTGGCAAATCCCCAAGGAGGAGGCTTATGTTCAGCAGTGGACAATTAAAGGCTGATATGAAGATAAGGGGTTACTTTTTTAATAAAAACAGAAACCTCTGCAAAAAAAGATTTCTTAATTATTGGATCGATTTATTAATCGATTAAATTATATTATATTATATATTTCATATTTGAAACTTAGTGGAGACATTGTTTAAATATAATAATAATAAATACTAAGATATATCAAAAATTTACATGAATAAAGTCGAGAGAATTACCTAGTAAGTAAATGGGAATTACGACCACCCATATACCAAGCTTTACATATCTCTAAAAATGTGTATACTTTATCACAAAGTTTATAGCTCTGCCTACTTATGATCTTTTTATTTTCTTGGATCAACCTTCCTAAAGCAGTTTTAGTAATAAAAGAAAATTATGCATACTACATATTTTTTTTTATATCTAGAATTTATTTCATAAAACACACTAATGAGAATTTACAAATATAATCAGATATTATTACGAAATATAAAAGTGTAACCTCCATATTTGTAAAACAGCCAGACCTTTCGTTAACACATTGAACTGTTATGTTTTTTTCTTTTACGTTAATTTCGAGTTTAATAGAAAGTGACAAAATAGCGTAATAGTTAAAATTGGTTTTTTTACAAACATATTTTTTGGTTTATATATACATATTCCGATTTTGTTGAGACATTCTGATTTTTAGTTCAAATTTAAGTGTCCCGTGCGAAACAGGCTGTCTCATTTATCGAAAGGAAAAGAAAATGTTAGAAAACTTTAAAAAAAGTTATATCTTCATAGTAATATGAACAAGTACTTCGTAAATAATGTTTTATTTATTTATATTATATAATTTATATTCTTCTAAAGACTTAATGATTAGTAAACTATTTTCTATAAAATTTTGAATATTTTAGCTATCTATCGCTAGGTATATAATTTTAATTTAAAACTCAAATAAAAGGATTCTACTGATTATATACGTTTTTTTATGTTTTACTTTCAACGAACAAATCCTGCGTTTTTAATCAAAAGGTATTAAATCCCGTTTTGCCTTTGCCATTTTTTGGCATTTGCCAAAAAAAAAAAAATTGGTAACGCTGTTTAGCAATTTACTTTAAGTCAAAAACTTTGCTAATTATAATGTTCGACTGAACTTTACTCATTCGATAATGATAACGACATATTAGGTATTTAAAAAGTCAAAAGATTGTATAGATATCTATACAATATGTCGTTGTATTACAAATTTACCCCTAGAGACTGATTTGTTCTATGAACGCATGGGGCGGTGCGAAACATTCGCTCTTCATACACAATACTCTTTTATTTTCTGCAAATACCTATCTGGGTATTCAAATAGGTTACCGGTAACTACATGCATATCAGCTTTTTTTATTATGTTATTAAGGCCCAATGTTATTAAATAAGAAGATTTAAAAACATTTTGCATGTTATCGTATGAATGTAACGAGTTTTCTTAAATATACCCAAGAGATATCATGAGGAAGCGTACCACGCTTTCCAAACAGTGAATAAAAGAAAACGGCTAAAGCTAAAAATAAAATTCTTATTAGACCGCAAAGTAGATACTTCCATAGACTCTCGACAGGCAACAATAAAAAAATACGCGTGACGTACGGCCGCCATATTGCGGAGGGGTTTCGCGCCAAAATATTAAGCGCGTGTCTTATTTCTCCAGGACGTGACAACGTTGAGATTGGCATTCAATGTTTATATCCTTAGTCCGTACAATACAATGATAATATAAGATGGTTTATTTGTTTGTCGATATATTAGAGAGAAAAGTTCTAGTGTTTATTTGGAAAAAATCAAGTAAGAGTCAATTTTGGTTGGTGTAGTTATTATTATGTAACTTCGAGTCAAAATAAATTTAATAATTAAGGTACCTAGCATAGAGCAAATAATTACTACATATACATATTTGAATTACTGGTTACATACTTAATATTTTTTACTTAAATGGCTAGTGTATTGAATGACTTAGATTACGACTGCGTTCACGTTTATGTTGATACATTTAATAGCACCTTTCTTCTTAGGACATTTACAAATTTTGATTTGTAATGTTGAACAGAAATATAAAGAGTATAAACATGAGAAAAATAAGATAAATAAAAATGCTTCTAACAATGTCAAGTAAATTTTGTTCTACAAAAAAATAAAACAACTTCTATCATAGTAAAACCAGTCGTCATTATTTAAAAACTAAACTATTCAACCAATTTTGATAAAATATCTATGGGATTAATCTGAAAGTACCTATATCCTCTCAGATAAATAAAAAGCATTTTGTAAATGGGTTCGTAAATGATGGAAATCTGGGGTAGGTAACAAATATAAAAAAATATAGCCAAATAAAGAAAATTGTCCTTTTTTGAAGTTGACTAAAAATATTACAATTAATGTTCATAAAATCAAATCACATTTGTCATCATTGATACTTATTACGTAATCATAATAAGAATTTTATTAATTAAATTTACAATAAAGTCAAATAATTGATATCCAGATGCTTACCTAAATTGGAAACAAATTAACTCACCCGCTGCCGTAGGAAAGGCCATTTTATTGATTATGACCAATTATTGACCATTCAATTAATTCTAATACAAATTTGCAGAAACTAATTAACCTATTGGAAATTGTAAATTAAATTGCTTCTCTCAAGTTCTGTGTAAACAAAGCTTTAATTGTGCAATCCTTTTAACTTTTTAAGTCAAAGAAAAGGAGGTTCTTAAATCGATTGTATTATATTATGTATATTTTATGGGACGTCTTTTGAAAATTCTGAGCCGATTTTATTCATTCTTTTACAGTCCATACAGGGTTTCCTTCTGTGTTACTTTTATGTATTAATTTTGTCGTCTTATTTTTATTTTAGTATTAGCTTTTTCCACGACTTAGTCTGAGTAAC